CAAATAGATAATACAAACACATAAGAAAAAAATTAATTCAAGTAACTTTTGAACATGGTTCTCTGACTGTGTACTCTCAATAGGATACTTTCTAAGGACCAAAAGAACTTCAAAGAAATCTTAGGCTAAGAGAGTGAAACGACAAGAAGAACGGACAGGACATAAAAAAAAAAAGAGGAGATCGATCCAAGATGGCCGACCACTAACAGCTCAGGATTGTAGCTCCCAGTGAAAGCCCAGAGAACGAGACGACGCCACACTTTTGGACGAATTTTCGTCACTCACCGATCAGCCGATTCCCAGTGGAGGAGCCCCACGGGTCGCCAGCATGACTCTTGTGGCCGCCGCAGCGGTTTTGCCGGCGTCTCGGCGCAGCAGCTCTTCATGCAGAGCCAACGGGACTGCTTCCCCTACTGACCGGAGTTTGGAGCTCCGGGAACTCAGAGCCGCTTGTTGCGGACTCAAGAGGGAAGCCAGACCAGAGATTCCCGGGCAGAAGAGCACCATCAGTCTCACCGCTGCTATTTAGGCTGCCACAGTGGGTTGCTCGAATCCCAGCACTGGGAATCAATAAGTCGGACGTCGACTCAGAAAACGAATTAGAAAGGCGGTTCATCTACAATGAAGGGGAAAAAACAGCCTAAGAAGGCCGAGTATACTCAAAATCAGAACCCATCAGCAACGGAACAAGCCCTGATGGAAAAGGACTCATCAGCAACCGAACAAGCCCTGATGGAAAAGGACTCATCAGTAACGGAACAAGCCCTGATGGAAAAGGACTGTGTTCCATTATCTGAAGTAGGCTTTAAAAGGTGGATGATAAGAAACTTCTGGGAGTTAAAGGAACTTGTTCTAACCCAATGTAAAGAAACTAAGAACTTGGAAAAAAGGTTCGATGAAATGTTGAAAAGAATAGACAATATAGAGAGGAATACAAATGAACTTATGGAGTTGAAAAATACAACACGAGAACTTAGTGAAATATGTACAAGCTTAAACAGCCGAATGGATCAAGCAGAAGAAAGGGTATCAGAGGTTGAAGATCAACTTAATGAAACAAAACAACAAGACAAGAATAGAGAAAAAAGGATAAAAAGGAATGAGCAAAGTCTCCAAGCAATATGGGACTATGTGAAAAGAACTAATATACGCTTGATTGGTGTACCTGAATGTGACGGAGAGAATGAATTCAAGCTGGAAAATACTCTCTAGGACATTATCCAGGAAAATTTTCCTAATTTAGCAAAGCAGGACACTATTCAACCCCAGGCAATACAGAGAACACCACAAAGATATTCCTCAAGAAGAACAACCCCAAGGCACATAATCGTTAGATTCACCAAGATCGAAACGAAGGAGAAAATATTAAGGGCAGCCAGAGAGAAAGATCAAGTTACCCATAAAGGTAAGCCTATTAGGCTTACAGCAGATCTCTCAACGGAAACCCTACAAGCTAGAAGAGAGTGGGGGCCAATATTCAATATACTTAATCAACAGAACTTTCAGCCCAGAATTTCATATCCTGCCAATTTAAGCTTTACATTTGAAGGAAAAATAAAATTTTTTAGGAACAAGCAAGTACTCAGAGATTTTATTACCACCAGGCCTGCTTTACAAGAACTTCTAAAAGAAGCACTATACACAGAAAGGAACAACCAGTATGACCCTTTCTAAAAATACACCAAAAAGTAAAGAGCATTAACATAAAGAAGAATTTTTATCAACAAAAGGACAAAATAGCCAGTTAATATCAAACGGCAGCAACCCTAAATTTAAATCGACCAAATCTCCCAATCAAAAGATACAGACAAAATCTAACGGTATATCCAAAGATATACATAGACTCAAAATAAAGGGTTGGAAAAAAAAAGTAACCAAATGGAGAGCAAAAATAAATAAATAAAAAGCAGGAGTTGCAATTTTCACATTTGACAAAATAGATTTCAAAGCTACAAGGATACAAGGATAAAAGGATTAATGTAATAATAAGAGATCTTAACACCCAGATACATAAGACCCATAATGAGATTTAGATTCAACGAGACAGAAAATTGATAACGATATCCAGGACTGGAACTAAGATCCAGAACAAATAAACTCAATAGAGCTCTCCATTTTAAACACACAAAATATACATTATCCACAAAAATCTAACGATATATCTAAAGATATACAAAGACTCAAAACAAGGGGATGGAAAAAAACTCACCGACCAAATGGAGAGCAAAAATAAATAAATAAAAAGCAGGAGTTGCAATTCTCACACTTAATAAAATAGATTTCAAAGCTACAAGGATGCAAGGGTAAAAGGATTAATGCAACAATAAGAGATCTTAACACCCAGATACATAAGACACATAATGAGATTTAGATTCAACAAGACAACAAATTGATAATGATATCCAGGACTTGAACTCAGAGCCAGAACAAATAAACACAATAGAGGTCTCCATTTTAAACACATAAAATATGCATTAACCACTTTAAACACTCAAAATATTGATCGGCCATTATTGAAACCCATTTTAGGAATGAAGTAATATTCCTTTTTCCCTCTTTTTCTTTTTTTCCCCTTCTTCTTCTCTTTTTCCCTCAAAAAAAAAAAAAAAAAAAAAGAAATCGTAGGCTTTAGTTAATATGTATTTTGAGAGCAATACTGGTGTAGCAATTCTGAAAACTCTTATCTGTAAGATTTAGCAAGTGAGTAAAAATATTGTTAGATTCTCATTCAGGGAGAAGGGAGATTCAAATATGAAATGGGAGAACAAATGAACACTGAGATGTCTGATGGGAATTAGAGGTATTAGTATAAACTCATGAAGTTTTAAAAGCTGTATCTCTTAGTTCTAAGAACGCTAGAAGCAATGACACTTCAGTAACAATGAGTACACCTAGCATCAAGATCTTGGTTTCTAAGTATCATTTCCCTCCAGAAGGAAATAGGGCTCCTTGGAGAAATCAATTTTTCTAGGCTGGGGGCAAAGAAAGTATTGTACAGACAAATCTGTAATCTCAGCACTTCAGGAAGCTGAGGTGGGAAGATACTTTCTCTCAGGAGTTCAAGACAAGGCTGGGCAACATAATAAGACTCCATCTCTACAAAAAATTTTTTAGAAGTTAGCTGGGCATTGTGGCACATGCCTGCAGTCCTAGCTAGTCGGGAGGCTAAGGCAAGAGGATCCCAGGGGTTTGAGGCTTCAGTGAGCCACGATCCTGCCACTGGACTCCAACCTGCGTGACAGAGTGAGACAAAATAAAAGAAAAATGAACAAAAAAGAAAGGAAGACAGAGAGGGAGGGAGGGAGGGAGGGAGGGAGGGAGGGAGGGAGGGAGGGAGGGAAAGAGAGGAAAGAAAAGAGGGGAAGGGGAGGAGAAGAGGAGAGAAAGGGGAGGGGAAAGAAAAGATGAACCTAGAATATCCTGTTGTGTCAGAGAGTACTGAAGCTCTCAAAGACTAAGGGGACATGTCAAATAGAGAAACTGCTTTAAGGTTGGGTCAAAAGTGGCCCAATTTGCATATCAAAATAATGACAGGCGTAAATTTTTAACTACTGAATAAAAAAACACACAAAGACTGTATTAACAGTATCTAAATATTGATAGTTTCAAGAAAATATTAAAGAAAGAGGCAGAAGGGAAACTCAAGAGGATGCCAACTATTATTAACATAGAAGCAATAATATCTATAATAGCTATAGAAAAATTTGAGACTAGGCAAATATTCTGTTCTCAATTAGTTCTTTACCCAGTAGTTTCAACATCTGTTGGTCATTTTTGTCTGCTTCCAGTTTTAGACTAATGTGAAAAACGCTACTATAAACATTCACATACAGATCTTTGTGCAGACAAACATTCATTTATCTTAGATCAATACCTAAAAGTAGGGTTATCTGGTCATATCATAAGTGCACCTTTAGCATTCTAAGAAACTGCAATACACTTTACACACCACCTGCTCCAACCCAGATCCATTCTCAGATCACACATTGCATTTATTATAGTTGTTACCTGTTTTAATTTAGTCTCCTAGGTCTATATCAAAGAGGAATGAGGGCATATATCCACTAAAAGACTTGTATAAGCATGTTCAAAACAGCACTATTTGTTGTAAACCCAAAACTAGAAAAACTCAAATGTTCACCAACAGTAGTATAAAGAAATTCTGAATTTTTATGGCAATGGAATATTATATAGCAATGAAAAAAGAATAAACATTACAGATAACAATATGAACAAATCTCACAATATGGAGTAAAAGCAGCCAGACACAAAAAAAGCACATGCTGATGATTTCATTTATATAAAGTTCAATAACAAGCAAAACTAAAATACAAAAGTCAGAAAAGTGATTTCCTATGGGGACTATGATTGAGAAGGACACATGTGAGCTTTCTGAGATGCTGATGAAGTTCTGAATCTTTAAGTGAGCTGGCTGAAGTAGCTCACTACTTGGGAGGATACTAGACTGATTCCTTATCTAAATGATGTTTACTGGATATGCTTGCTTTTTGAAAATTTACCAAGCTATACATTTATGATGAATGCACCTTTCTGTATGTTTCATTCCAATAAAAATAAAGAGTAAACATAATCCTGATTCTAAAACTGAACAAAAAAAAATGCTGAAAATTCTTTCTGAATTAATTTTAAACTTAGATTTTTCAGAAGGCATGCTTCCACTCCTACTTCCCAAGTTCTTTGAGAAAACTTCTCTATGACCAGCAGGTGCAAATGACAACACTGGGGACAGAAAACGTACAGAGAAGAAGGCAATTTCAATTCCACACTGGATTTAAGTCATCAGGCTTTTTATGAAAAGAGGTTTGCCAATCAGCATCAAGAAACACAGTAAGAAATACATATTATTTTATTTGGTAATTTCCCTCCAGGAATTGATTTATCCTGAATCAACAACTCAGTCAAATATCTGTGAGCAATAATGTAACATTAGACATTTAAAATAATTTTGTAAAAGAAAATCCTTTGAAGGTAACACTTACAATTGGTGTCCCAAAAGGAATGTAACCTGTGAACAAGAAAAAAAGAGTCAGGCCTTAACCACCCAAATCTCACCTGAGATATCCAGGAGCTTCCAGGTTAGGTCTGAGGCCGTCAATGGTCCTGACAAAGGGGCTCAGGTCAGTTAGGTGGGAGGCATCTCCAATTTCACAGATCATTTCCCAGCTCAGCCCTCCCCGGGGCAGAGGGTCCCCGGTGTCCCCAGCCTCCTCTTCTCTGCTGTCTTTGGCCAGGCAGCTTTCACTCTCCACTGGAACCCAGAGGCCTGTTCCTGCAGGCAGGGCTGCCGCTGCCTCAGGCACCACCGCTCCACATGTGGTGATCCTCCTACGATTTCCTGTGAGGCATGACACCCCTGGGCACACTCACTACGTGAAGCTGAACATCCTCCAAGGACCCCAGAATGTCTTCCTTCTTCCCTCAGCTTGTCTTTCTAACACAGGCCCTTACTTCCCCAGCATCATGGCCATTTATGGAAAGAAAATTCCCTCCCCATCTGAGCCATGCACCTCTAAGTGCCAGAGCTTCTTAAATCTGTGGCATCCCCAGTGGCTCAGTAGGGAGCAAAGGTGAAGTGCAGCCAGGCCCTGGGTATGGCCTCCTCACTGATCTCAGTCCCCAGGCAAGGCTCCCTCCACAGCCCCAACTGCTGTCAGTGGTCACCTCTAACCGTGGCAACCAGTGAGCAGTGGCTGGACAGCGGGATCGGGCTTATCTGACTTACATCTCAAGTCAAACTTTGCATCCTGAGTGTGCATAATCATGCACACACATGAGCCATCGCTCTCCTACTCACTGCTCGCTGGGGAGAGAATCACTGCTCTCTGGGGAGAGAACCAGAATTTGACTGGGGCCTCAGAGAAATGCATGACTCAAAAAGGTCAGGATTTACAAGTGAAGCCAGGCTCAGGGTGAGAGCCTGCTATGCCGGGTATAGGGACTGGGGGTGTCTACAACCACAACTGTAAGATGCTCAGAGCCCTTGCCAGCACTTTGGGAAACTGAAGCAGATGGATCATTTGAGGTCAGGAGTTCAAGACCAGCCTGGCCAACATGGTGAAAACCCGTCTCTACTAAAAAATACAAAAATTAGCCAGGCATGGTGGTATGTGCCTGCAGTCCCAGCTACTCAGGAGGCTTAGGCATTGCTTGAATCTGGGCAGTGGAGGCTGCAATGAGCAGAGATCATGCCACTGCACTCCAGTCTGGGCAACAGAGTGAGACTCTGTTTCAAATATTAAGAAAAAAAAAATGCTCAGAGCCTTGGAGTTTTGACATGACAAAGCAAGGGGGTCACAGGGCACTCACTGCCCCAGTTTACACAATAACATCACATGTCCATCCATTCCCTGGTTGTTTATTTTGTTGCTCACAATGAGGTCAGGCTCTCTGGGGGTGGGGAGCCTGACTGACCCATTTGACTGAGACTGCCTTTCTCCAGCCCCCTGAGGCCTTCCCAAGGCAGCAGCAGTAGTACCCTCCCATCCCACCCTTATCACTCAAGATGGGTGCATCCCACTGCACTGAGAAATGGCAAGGAGGATGCATCAGCACACCCATGAGTGTGACGCTGCAGTGACTCTCAGAACCGTTGGGGAGATAAGCATGCCAGCCCAGCTCGTGTACATGCCAGTGCTTTCTAAGCCCTAGAGCCCACATACACACAGCTGCCCCTTCAGTGACCACAGGACTTCCTGGGGTAGGGATCCTGTCTCCCACTCTGCCCACTGGTCTCCACAGAACAGGAATCCCACCTTCTGTATGTGCACAGCAGTGCAATAACAGTGCATCCATTCTGAAGGGAAGGGAGAGCTCATTGCTCGATCAGAGAACAGAAAATTAAGCTGGAGACTGGCTGCCTAAAAGGGGCAGGGCAGGGAGCATGACTTCGAAGGAAACAGCAGGTTATGCATGGATAAGAGATGGGGAATGACTTGTAGACGCCAGGGCTTGCTTATGGAGGCATAACTGAGGCTGTCCTAGTGGGTGCTGAGTGATGTGGCGTGGGTGGTGGCAGGGACAACCAGATTCACCTGTGGAAGCCCTGGCTCCACCCCAACTGCTCATGCAGAAAAGGCAGGCAAGCTCCATAGAGGATTCTGAGGCCTGGCCAGCGTCTTGTATGGTTGAGCTGAGGTGAACGTGTAGGTGCAAATGTGGCCACGATTTTGACAGGCTGTGTCCCATCCTTAGGCCAACACATCTGGCCGCTCCTGGAACTGTGACCGGAATAAGCACCCCAGGCTGACCAGAACCAGAAGGGCCCCAGGAGCTTACCTGACATTCTAAAGGGCATGAAGATCTTCTCATTGGTGTCCGGGTGTAGAATAGCCTGGCAAAAGTGAGAACAGAGAATGGGTGGAGACAGGGATGCAGGGAGCGGGAAGGGGGAAGAGGAGGGAAGAGGAAGACAAGCAGAGGTATTGGGGAGGAAGGAGGGAAGAGGACAACTTCCCTGGGAAGATTCAGACATAGTGGCTGTATGTTGCCTTGTTGTCAGTGAGGCCTTTATACCACTCAAGGCAAGAGAATACCAAAACATGGGCCATAAACAGACAACACCCCTCCTCCTGACTTACCCTAAAAGCTGAATGTAAGGGAGAGCAAAAGTCCATGGGGAACAGGATCATGTCTACCTGACAGGCCCTCTACCCCCATGCCTGTCACATGGTAGGCACATAAGAAGGATTTTGTGGGCAGAGCCCTGTCTTTTCCCAGAGCTCAGAGAACCCAGGGAAAGGCCAGCCTGGCCTGAGCTCCAGGCTTCACAGACTCTGGCCCTTGGGGGCCCGAGGAGGAGGAAGGGGTGAGGGGGCCAAGGGCAAATGTGAGAGCAGAAGAGCCATGGGAGGAGGGGCTTCCATTAAATCCCTGGGACAGGGCAGGGTGGAGTCCAGGATAGCATGAAGAAGGAAATAAAGAATCCAAAACTGGATTACCTGCTTGATTTTCTGTGCACTCCAGAGCTGGGAGAAAGAGAGAGAAAGGAAAAAGAAAACAAAGAACAAAAATTAAAAGCACATATCGGTTTAAGGTTTCCCACCCATGTTTTCTAACCAAGGGATTCAGCGGCAAAAGCATAAGAGGCTTGGGCTGTCCCTGCCAGCCCACACTGGGCAGCTGTCCTATCCGAGAGGTGTGGCATCAGATAGTAAGGGCCAGAGAGGCCCCAGAATGGCAGAGCTAGGGGACCTCAGGTGGATCAATTAAGCCAGGGGTTCTTGACTCTGCCTACACTCGAGAATTCCTTGGAGAATTTTTTCAGCATTTTCCTAAAGCTCCCTAGTTGACTCTAAGTCATAAGTGGGTAAAAACCTGTGATTTATTAGTTTAATAAACTAAGTAAAAAAAAAAAAAAAACCCTCTGATTTAAATGAAGATACTTTAACTGTCTCCCAGAATCACTAGTGGCAGCAGAGTATATACAATTTCTTCAGAGATAGCCTGGATTCCCTGCTGTGCCACTTCTACCTCTCAGCCTCAGTTTCCTCATCTGTGGAATGGGCATAATAGCCACACCTCTAACACAGAGTCATTTAAGAGGTGAATGGGAAGCTCTCAGAGCAGTGTCAGCCCAGTATCATGTGCTCATAAGTGCTTACTGTTGTTGGCATTATTATGCTTACTGTTATTATAAGAAGGCTGTAGGAAGAAAAAAACTTCCTTTCAAATGATGATGAGGTTGTCTCTTTCCAGCACAGAGACAGGTTGGAGAAACAGAATAATTTGTCAATCCCTTCAAATGACCTAAATACTGTATTGCATTGAATCTAAGACACCACTGATCCAAACATACACTATTATGTGCCACATACAAAAGAAAACTATGATGTAATATCAAGACCCCCATCAATTAAAAGACTTATTTCATTTTACAGATGTTATAATGTGATAAAGTAGGCCTTTTCAAATCAAAGAAACATGGTAAATAAAAATTTACACTGTGGGCTGGGGGCCAGGCACAGTGGCACATGCCTGTAGTCGCAACACTTTGGGAGGCCAAAGCAAGAGAATCACCAAGGCCGGAATCAGTCTGCCCTAGGCAACAAAGGGAGACCCCATCTCTACAAAAAAAATTTAAAAATTAGCAGGCGTGGTGGCATGTGCCTGTGGACCCAGCTACTCAGTAGACTGAGGCAAGGAGAACACTTGCGCCCAGGAGGTAGAGGCTGCAGTGAACCATGACTGTGCCACAGCACTCCAGCCTGGATGACAGAGCGAGACCCTGTCTTAAAAATAAAAAATAAAAAATTTATACCATGGGCAAACCAAAGGCTTGGTATATTTTTTTAACGGAGAAAGAAGGCTATGGGGATAGAAGAAAGATACAGACAGCAGCTGATGTTTAAAGTTTTATAATAGAATGGTTGTTATGCCGCATGTATATGGCAATGTTGGTCATCTGGAACATAAATTAAGCTGCAGAAGTTAAGAAGGCTACTGGGTAGTAAAAATAGAAGTTATAAAATTGATACATTAAAGTTTATGCATTTTACTCACAGCTGAGTCCCTCAAACCTTATTTCACAGCCTAATTAACTCTTATTTTAGACACATTTCCAACACACTTGATTGTCTGCTATTCCAGACCCAGGCAGATTAGAAGCAGTTGATTTTTAAAAAATAATAATTGGGGAACAGAGGGGGGCTGATGAGAGAAAAGCCAAAAGTAGAATCACTTCTACCACAAAGGTTAAGTGAGAACCTAACAGCAAAGAGATTATTAAAAAAAAAAAAAAGGAAATAAAAATAAAAGGCTGATCCTCCCCTCTCTGCTCAGTAAGCACCTTCCTGAAGTGAACCCTCAAGTCTGGGTTCTGTCCCTCCACCCCAGGCCCTGTGTACAGACTTCTGACACCCCACACCCTTTCCCTCAGTCATAACCTTCTGTATCCTCTCCCCTCTGGATTCACAGTCAGGCCACTCAGAGGCAGGAACCGGCTCTTCAGCACTGTCTCCTAGCATGTCCCATCCCCACAGGGCTTAGCGCACAGTAGGTGCTCAATATGTGCCTCATGAAGGAATATCATCTTCTAAAACAGACGTAGACCCTAGACTTAAGTTGACTTCTGGTAAGGCACAGTGAGGCCAATGCACAGTTTCATCTTTTCTTCCCAAATCCTCGATAAAAGAACAGCAGAAGAATAAACCAGCTGAAAACCCCCTCAGGGAGGAAGGGGACATGATAGTAGGCGGAAGATGTCACACATCTTTGAAAGGTGGTGAGCTGATGAAGAGGTGAGCGGTCGGCATTGCTGCAGAGGGTGGAAGTGCCCCCCACATGCTCAGTGGGAAGTGAGTGGGCTCAGCCCAACTAGACCCTCCAGACACTGCAAAGGGGCACGTGGCAGGGCCAGAAAACAGGGAGAGAGGTTGCAAATGTCCCTGTGCACGGACCAGAAAGGCCCAAAGTCCCCACCCAGGTGATGGAGGTTTATTCTCCAGAGAAGCTGAATCAGCACAGCCCAGACATGGTTACAGGCAGAGGGGGACCAGGGGGCCAGGCAAGGGTCTGAGTGCTGAATACACATCTCTCAAGGAGCCCATTTTCGTCCAGCTTCCAGGACACCACAGGCAGGAGGATGGAGACACCTCCTCCAGGGAAACAGAAAGGCTCCCAGAGAAATGACCCACTAAGAAGGCTGGGTCATGAACAGGCCATTAGCACAATGCTGAGAAGGAGGTCCCCCTTCCAGTCCAGTGGTCTGATACTGTGTGGTTGCTGTTTTTTTTTTTTTTTTTTTTTTTTGAGACAGAGTCTCACTCTGTCACCTAGGCGGGAGTGCAGTGGCATTATCTCCACCCTCTGCAAACTCCACCTCCCAGGTTGAAGTTATTCTTTTGCCTCAGCCTCCTCAGTAGCTGGGATTATAGGTGTGAGCCACCTCACCCAACATGGTTGCTGTCTTGACTTTAATACAGACATTGCCACCTACGGACATTTTGGTCAATGACAGACCACATATACAATAGTGGTCCCCTAGGATTACAAGAGAGCTGAAAAATTCCTATGGCCTGTGACCTCGTGGCTGTCCTGAAGTCACAGTACAATGCATTACTCATATTTGTGGTAATGCTGGTATAAACTAATCTACTGCATTGCTGTCTAGCACCTATAATTATGTATGATACACAACACCTGACAATAATAGACAATGTTACTGGTTTATGTTTACTATGCCATGCTTTCTATTATTATTATTATTAATACTATTATTATTTTTGAGACAGAGTTTGAGATGCTCTTGTTGCCCAGGCTGGAGTGCAACCATCTTGTCTCACTGCAACCTCCGCCTCCCAGGTTCAAGCCATTCTCCTGCCTCAGCCTCCTGAATAGCTGGGATTACAGGGGGGTGTGCCACCACAACCAGCTTATTTTTGTATTTTTAGTAGAGATGGGGTTTCACCGTGATGGCCAGGCTAGTCTCAAACTCCTGACCTCAGGTGATCTGCCTGCCTCAGCCTCCCAAAGTGCTGGGATTAAAGGCGTGAGCCACAGTGCCCAGTTACTTCTTATTATTATAGAGTATATACCTTCTACTTATCTTAAAAAAAAAAAAAAAAACTAAAACAGCCTCAGGCAGGCCCTTCAGGGGGTATTCCAGAAAGAGGCATAGTTATCATAGGAGATGATAGCTCCAGCATATTACTGTCCCTAGAGACTTTCCAATGGGACAAGATATGGAGGTAAAAGACAATGATATTAATGATCTTGACTGCATGTAGGCCTAGGATAATATGAGTGTGTCTTACTTTTTAACAAAAACATTAAAAAAGTAATAATGTTTAAAAATAGAAAAGAGCTTATGGACAAGAATTTTTCTGTACAGTTGTACAGTATGTGTATGTTTTAAGCTAAGTGTTATTACAAAAGAGTCAAAAAGTTTTAAAAATTTACAAGTTTATGAAGTAAAGTTACAGTAAGCTAAGGTTAATTTATTTTAAAGAGAGAAAAAATTTTAAATAAATTTAGTGCAGCCCAAGGATACAGGTTTATAAAGTCTACAGTAGTATACAGTCATGTCCTAGGCCTTCACATTCACAGAGCACTCACTAACTCACTCAGAGCAACTCCCTGTCCTGCAAGCTCCATTCATGGTAAGTGTTCTATGAAGGTGCACTGTTTTCTTTTTTTTTTTCTTTTGACAGGGCTTGCTCTGTCACCCAGGCTGGAGTGCAGTGGTATCATCACAGCTCACTGCAGCCTCCACCTCTCCAGCTCAAGCAATCCTCCCACCTCAGCCTCCTGAGAAACTGGGACTAGCTGGGACTACAGCTAGTTCCAGCTACTGTAGTCCTGGGAGGGTGCCCTGGCAGTCAGCATTTATGGGCACACAGGTGTGTGCCATCACACTAGCTAATTTTTTGTGTGTTTTTGTAGAACTATGGTCTCCCTATGTTGCCCAGGCTGGTCTCCAACTTCTGGGCTCAAGCAATCCTCCCACTTCAGCCTCCCAAAGTATTAGGATTACAAGCATGAGCCACCCTGCCCAGCCCCATCTTTTTAATCTTTTATATCGTATTTTTACTATACCTTGTCTATGTTTAGATACACAAATACCATGTGTTCCAATTGCCTACAGTATTCAGTAGAATAACATGCTGTCCAGGTGTATAGCCCAGGAGCAACAGGCTATCCCATACAGCCTAGGTGTGGAGTAGAATAACATGCTGTCCAGGTATGTGGCCCAGGAGCAACAGGCTATCCCATACAGCCTAGGTGTAGAGTAGAGTAACATGCTGTCCAGGTGTGTGGCCCAGAAGCAAGAGGCTAGCCCATACAGCCTAGGTGTGGAGTAGGCTCTACCATCTAGGTTTGTGTAAGTGCACTCTTCTGATGTTCCCATAATGACAAAATCACCTAATGATGCATTTCTCGGAACATATCCCTGATGTTAAGTGAGGAGTTTGCACTTTATAAGTTAAGCCCAGTGGAACAATGCAGCATGTGCTGGTGGCCTGGAGCC